TCTCTCTCTCTCTCTCTCTTTTGAGCGCGCGCGGCGCGTGTGTATGTGTGTGTGTGTGTGTGTGTGTGTGTGTGTGTGTGTGTGTGTGTGTGTGTGTGTGTGTGCGTGCGTGTGTGTGCGTGCGTGTGTGTGCGTGCGTGTGTGTGCGTGCGTGCGTGTGTGTGTGTGTGTGCGTGTGTGTGTGTGTGTGCGTGTGTGTGTGTGTGTGGTGTGTGTGTGTGTGTGTGTGTGTGGTGCGTGCGTGCGTGCGTGTGTGTGTGTGTGCGTGCGTGCATGTGCGTGCGTGAGTGTGCGTGCGTGCATGTGCGTGCGTGCGTGCGTGCGTGCATCCGAGCGTGCGTCCGAGCGTGCGTGTGTGTGCGTGTGTGCACTGCCTATCTCCTCCTTCCCTTCTCTCCTTTCTCTGTCTGTGTGAGTGTATTTACGCCCCAAGACATCCCGTCCTACAGCGAAGCTTCTAAGGTTACCACATATCCGTCCACACATTTTCCTCTACGAACAAACAAACCGAAAGAAAGAACAAAAAAGTTGATGAATAAATAAACAAAACAAGCCATAAAAATCAACATTACTGGCGTTCAGAATAAAATAAATTAACAAACAGATGTCTTAATAAAAAAATGAGTAAAATAAAACATGAAAATTAACATTGCAGGCATTTAGAAAAAAAACACCATTTCTCAGATTCAGAAAAAAAACAAATTAACAAACAAACGAATAATCAAATAAATAAACAAATATGAAAACAATATCAACATTACTGTCATTCAGAAAAAAATAAACAAATCTTATAACAAATAAATAAAAAAAACACATTTCTAGCTTCAGAAAAAAATAAACAAACAAACATCACAACAAGCAAATAAACGCATAAAAAACTAAAAACTAACATCACAGGCATTCTCAAAAAAAAAAAAAAAAAAAAAAAAAAAAAAAAAAAAAAAAAAAAAAACTGCCGGGGTCGCCTTCCATCAGTACAAGAGCCGATAGCCTGCCAACCTCCCAACAGGCGTGAGATGTTGGAAGGGGAAAAAATAGAGTGTTGTCCCATCTGTTACCGCCTGTGACCCACCCTCGACCCAGCTTCCGTTCTAGGAGAAGGGAGGGGGGGGTCGGGGGAGGAGGAAGAGGGGGGTCAAAGGAGGAGGGAGGGGGGGAGAAGGGAGGACGAGAGGAGGAAGAGGGGAAGAAGGAGGAGGAGAGGAGGAAGATGGGGGAAATGGGAGGTCTAAAGGGGAGGAAGAAGGGGGAAGGGAGGAGGAGAGGAGGAAGAAGGGCGGAGGATGGAGGTCTAGAGGGGGGGGGGGAAGAGAGGAGGAAAGGGAGATCTAGAGGGAAAGGGGGGAGGAGGAGAGAGGGGGAAGGGAGGTCTAGAGGGAGAAGGAGGAGGAGGAGGAAGAGGGAAAAAGGGAAGGTCTACTGGGGGGGGGTGGTGGCTGTGAGATGGGGAAGGGCTCAAAGGGAGTGGAATATGGGTGGGGGGGGGAGAAGGGAGGACTAGAGGGGAAATGTTATGGAGATGGGAAGAAGGGATAGAGGGAGGTCTAAAGTGGAGAGGTAAGGGATGGGAGGATGCCAAAGGGAGGTCAAGGGAGGTTATAAGACGGGGAGGGAGAAAAAGGGAGTGTTTTGAGATAGCGAGAGCGTGTTAAAGGGAGGTCTAGAACGGGGCTATGAGTTAAGAAGGGGGTTCAAAGGGAGGGTTTTTAAAGGGTGGAGGAAAACAAAATAGGGGGGGTACGAAATAGGGAAATGGAGGCCTGAAGGGAGGAGAGGTTGAGGTTTGGGGGAAGGGAGGTCTAGAAGGGGGAGGGGGAGGGTTGGAAGAGAGAAAAGAGGGCGAATGGAAGGTACAAGATAGGGGGGAGGGATGGGAGGGAGAGGAGGGGAGGGAGGGAGGGAAGGGAAGGGAGGAGGGAGGGGGAGGGGAGGGACGGGAGGGGGNGAAATGAGGAGAAAAAAAAGAAAAAAAAAAAATCGGCTTCCCGCTCTTGCATAGAAAATGTGATATCCTCTCGAAAGCAATCAGTAAAATCTGGAACAGAAATAATGGAAAATCCGTATGACAAGAGAAATCCACTTTGGCCATCTGAAGTGACATCCTCAATTTCGAAGAGAAACATTTCTTCGAGACTTTATTGTGCGAATAACAGGTAAAAGTGAAAAACAGATTTATTGTGCGAATAACAGATTAAAGTAAAAAAAAAAAAAATAGAGACTTTATGTGCGAATAACAGATTAAAGTAAAAAAAAAATAGTCAACTTTGGCCATCTGAAGTGACATCCTCAATTTCGAAGAGAAACATTTCTTCGAGACTTTATTGTGCGAATAACAGGTAAAAGTGAAAAACAGAGACTTTATTGTGCGAATAACAGATTAAAGTAAAAAAAATAGAGACTTTATTGTGCGAATAACAGGTAAGAGTAAAAAATAGAGACTTTATTGTACGAATAACAGATTAAATTAAAAATAGAGACTTTATTGTGCGAATAACAAATTAAAGTAAAAATAGAGATTTTGTTGTGCGTATAACAGGAAAAAGTAAAAAAATTGAGACTTTATATTGTGCGAATAACGAATTGAAATGAAAAATAGAACGCGTGAACAAAGGAATGGAAGAGAAGCATTGATCTTTTGCATAAAGAAAATCTTGAAATGAAAAATATAACCCCTTCCTCCACAAAAAGAAAAAGAAAAAAAAATCGAAGACTCACGTAGGCGTTCTTCGGTGCATTCGAAAAGACACGAGGAATGGAGAGGAAACGCACATTACTACTCTCTTTTCTTTCTTTTCTCTTTCCCTTTCTTCTTCTCCTTCCTCTTGTCGCTTTTGGGGTCTCTTTCCTCCCTCCCTCCCTCCCTCTCTTTCTCTCTCCTCCCCCTCTCTATCTCCCTCTCCCTCCATTCCTTCCTCCTCTCCGTCTTTCCCTCCTTCCCTCTTCCTCCCTTCCTTACTCCTCATTCCCTCCACCCATCCCTCCTCTCCCTCTTTCTCTTCTCTCTCTCTCTCCCTTAATCGATCGCCGGATAGACGTTTGTGGGTGCTTGCCTGCCTGCTTGCTTGTTATGACTGACACTGTCGAATTCCGAGATGTTTCTGCTTACTCTGAAGTGTCTCTCTTTGGCCCACGCTGATTGGAGGTCTGTTACCGTATGTGTTTTGATTACCTGTGTGTGTGTGTGTGTTTGGGTGGATACGTATTAATATCAACAGTACATAAAAGCATTAACATATACCTAAAAAACCAACACACCAAAAAAAAAAAAAAAAAAAAAAAAAAACACAACACAAACACAAAAACAACAGGATATATATATAAAAAAAACAACAACAACAAAACGTAAAAAAAAAAATCCGTCCCTCTCCCATAAAAGACCCACCCCCCCTCACCCCCTCCCGAAGCAAGCCCCGCCCCCACGCTGACCACCGCGAGCAAGTGACCCGAATGCAGCCACCCTGACCTGGGCGCGACCCGACGGCAGAGGAATCGGCCGAGCGACGGTCGGTGAGGGAAAGTTCCCCCGCTGGGCCGCGAGGATTATGGTGTCTGCGCGATAGACCCTTCGCTCTTATCCTCGGCGTCTTGCAACACTGCAGGCGATTGATCCAAAAAAACGGTTGCCCAAAGCGATGGGGGAATTCGGCCTCTCCTTCGCTCGTTGCGGCCGCTGCTGCTCCCTGTATGGAGCCATATGATTTCATATACTTGGCGGTTATCTCTTATACTTGTCCTCACTCTGCTTATCTACATAACACCTTTACCACCCTCTCTCTTCACATTCTATCACCCCCACACATCTACTGCTCTCGCCTCCGCGCGTCTGCTCACCTTACTCATCACCTCTCACACCTTTCCACTTACACACACTGCTCACACTTACCCACATCATTCTACGCTTCTCATCCATCCTCCACACCACACAATCCACTACACACACACACACACGCTTCATCTAACACTGCTCTCCTATTATCCCACCCCACCACATACCACCACCCACACCACTATCTTACTATCTACACTACACACCTACCACACACATCCATCATCATCTCACCACTATCATCACGACTACACACACACACACACACACGCACACACACCACACACTCTCCCTACATTCAACTCTTGCCCTTCCTATCTCTCTTCTTCCCTTTCCTTCTCTCTCCCTTCCTTCTCCTTCTCTCCCTTTTCCATTCTCTCTCTCCTCTTCCTTCTCTCTCTCCTTCCTTCTCTCTTCTCCTTTCCTGTCTCTCTCTCTCTTCTCCCTCTTCCTCTTCTCTCTTCTTCTCTACTTCTATTCTCTCTCTCTCTTCTCTCTCTCTCCTCTCTCTCTCTCTCTCTCTCTCTCTTCTCTCTTCTCTCCTTCTCTCTCTCTCTCTCTCTCTCTCTCTCTCTTCTTCTCTCTCTCTCTCTCTCTCTCTCTCTCTTCTCTCTCTGTCTCTCTCTCTCTCTCTCTCTCTCTCTCTCTCTCTCTCTCTCTCTCTCTCTCTCTCTCTCTCTCTCTCAACTCACAGTGAGCATGACCATCCTTGGTAGCATCGGGTTAATCTCACATTTGCCTCATTCCATGAATTTCCATGAGGAAAAGTTTTTCATTGTGTATGACATTATATAACCACAGTGGAGTGTTGATGTATCTGGTACCAACAGATTAGAATATCCAATTATATTTATCTGATGCCAAAACTTAGAGAGAACGACTAATTGTTTGTTAGGGTAGGATTGGTGTGGATGATTTTTATTCTTTCTTTCTCTCTCTCTCTTTCTCTCTTTCTTTTTTTTTAGAATTATTTTATGTTTACTTAATGTCTTTTTCTCTCTTTCAGGCCAGATGTTTCAAAAATTTACGTAAATGTTGGTTTAGGCTTCCATGTGGAGCTGACTCTGCAAGAGGCCTTAAGTTTCATAGATAAGAAGTTAAAGATCTTAAATACCAAAGTGACAGAATCCTCAAAACAGTCAGCCAAAATCAAAGGGAAAATCAGATTTGTGTATGAGGGTTTAAGAGAAATTGAAGGCCTTGAGAAGGGTGTGAAAAGGAACTGAGGCCAAGGACTATTGCAAAGAAAAATTATGTGACTTTTGTATCATGTATATTAAAAATCAGTGTCATAAATAAGTTCCAAAGGACAATGAAGTTGGTAAAGAGTGTACCTGTCAATTATAGGAGAGTCTGGTGCATAACATCAGCTGTGAGTCTGTGCTTGTGGATCCTTCCATTCATACTTGGAAAATATACCGATGTTACTTTCCCCTTCATCGCTTCAGAAGACATACCCCAGGAATTGGTTGGCCTTGTTGGACCTACAGAAAATGGTCTGGATTGGTGTCCTGTCTTATCTCCCCATGTGGTAAACGTAGACAGATTAACAACCAACAAGATCTTTCCTCAGACAGATGAAGACATTGTTAAGAAATACAACATATTGCCTGGTGGTACCTGGAAGCCAACAGAATGCCAGTCAAGATACCATGTATGCAAACTGTTATTGTAGTGCAACTTAGGGCATTAGCATGTAATTAGATGTGCTTATCCACTATTTGTATTTCTGTGCATGAAACCATCCTCATCCTTGCATCTGTGCATATGTTCCTTAAGTTTGGGTTCCACTATTCAGACTCAGCATTTGCCCCAGAGCTACTTCAGGCCACCCAGTCTCCTGCTTTGAGTTTATTACAAGTTCATTCATCTTGGATAAGTGTGTCTAGACTAGCTTCAAATTTTCTTTAACCACATTTTAACTGCAAAATTATATTGAACAAATCAGACAATCATAGACTATTGGCACCTGTTGACAGAAAATAAACTAGCAGGTTCTCTGCAGAGAATGCTTTAGGTCTGGCTGCCCCTCTCCTCCGTCCAATCACAGGAAAGGAAAAACTGGCAACTATCCGTAGACTGCAGTTTTACTTTGAAAAAATAAAAAATAGAGTAGTGTAAAGCAATGAAAATATAGTATATAATTCCAGACAGATGCAAACAGAAGTATAAAGTACCTGCTGATTAGAATAAAAAAGCAGAAACAAAAGGCAAATCATAATAATCTTGTGTCAGATGCAGCTGGCAGAACAAATTTGTGGCCACCCTAAGATAATCGAGCTGGGATTTTATCTGGTTATAATAGTGCATTCTAGTATAACAATATAAAAGGTGTAAAATAAACAATGTTAATATTTGAAAAGAAATACATAAGAGAGTATATGAAAAAATGGCTATTTATTGCAGTGTGTACACATCCAAATGATAAATGCTGCTATGTAAATAAGTTAATATATAATATAACTGTCTGCTGCTTATATTTCCCATTCCATTTATGCACTAATTGCTGTTTGACTTGACAGTTCGCTTGTCAGAAGAGAGAAAAAATATTATCCATACTTGTTTATTTATTCTCTTTTGTTCAGTCATGAAGCATCTGTGTAATGTATATATTCATGTTATGTGTAATTTAGAAAGAAAAGTTGATGTTCTCCCACTGAAACAAAAAAGTGTGGAAAACATCATAAATGACGCTTCCCTGCCAAAAGGTTCACCCTCTTAGAATGATATTTTTAGAAATGAAATGCCTCACTGTTAATGTCTGGTATTATATTTCCTTTCGTTTTTCATAATGTACGCATTGATGCCTCTTTCTGAGTAGTTACAATTGCTGTTAACTGATGGCAATGGAAGTAGCATGTTAGTCATCCAAAGTTTTATAAGAATTACTGGAAATATAATCATGTATATTATACAGACCTTTCATGGCTAAACAAGGGAGAACAGATAATTATATAAGAAACATTTGTTTTCACTCTGGTCAAACAAGCAATAGGCTAAATGGTAGTCAAAAGGAAATAGACAATTATGTCATATTTGCTCATTCCTATATTATGTGAACTTTTCATTTTTTTATTGGATCATTCATCCTTTAGGGAGTGTAATTCTTAGCATTAACATTCAATAAAAAAGGTGTAATTAATATTTCATAAGCTTTCTTAATTATTTCATTTCAGATATCAATCTATCAGTGGCAAAGCTAGCTCTGACAGTTTCTTCTTTCTTTCTTTCTTTCTTTCTTTCTTTTTTTTCCATCACTAGTGGAACCCTAGCTTTATTATAGGATTTTTATATTTTGCTTTATAGTTCTTTTTTCAAATGTGCCTTTTTCTAACTGCTATATTGAGTGTAATAGGTCTTTGAAAAAAAGTTATTTTTCATCTTTAATCAACTCTCCAGGTTGCCATCATCATTCCTTACCGAAATAGGAGTCTGCACCTCCAGCAGTTCCTGACGTATATGCATCCATTTCTCATGAGGCAACAGTTAAACTATAGGTAAATGTGGATTAGAGAAAATAATGGATTAGTTACATGTATTTGTTTCAGGTTTTGTATTTCAAGTTTAACTAAGTCTAATTACTAGAAAATAATCTCATACTGTATTTGCCCATTCACGACAGTGATGGAAGTTACTTATATGGCAGAGCCATGCAACAGATTCAGTTGTGTTAAAAGATATTAGTCATGAGTTCATTATTATGATATAATCTTTTCATTTTGAATATTTTCTTTTTGTCTCATTCCAACACAGAATTGTGGTTGTGGAACAGACAGACGAGAAGCAGTTTAATAGAGCAAAACTCTTGAATATCGGCTTTGTCGAGACCAATAAGCTGGCCCAGGTTGACTGTTTCATCTTTCATGATGTGGACCTACTGCCACAAAATGACCTCAATGTGTATGCATGCACCCACAACCCGCGACACATGTATTCTGCTATTGACACTTTCAGGTTAGCTAGAGTTTTTCTTTTTTTTCTTTCTTTCTTTCTTTTTTTCAGAATGTATGTAAGAGTATGATAAAGTATATGTTGAAAAATGTTGACAAAAGGTCTGTGAAGAAGCTCCCTGTTACCTTTAGGTCTCAATATGACAATATAAATAGTCATAAAATGTAGATCAGTCCTTAACCACATTTGCCTTTACATTTTGTTATTTCATATAGATAGATAGATCAATATAAAAATTGTGGCATTATTGTCAAAATCCAGATCCACTCTTGGTTGAGAGCCTACAAACTGTTACAAAAATACACACCCAATTTTAGTCACACAGGTGAAGTTGACCACCAGTGCCATTTCTATTTTGCCTAAACCTTTTATTTGATATCTTAATTTTCAACAAATTACTTTAATCTAATAAGTAGTTTTGACCAAAGTTATCCGTGAACTGTGCCTGGCCAGTCATATTTAAATTCTAGAGCAATACAAGATTTGATAAAGTCACACCAGACAGTTGGCCAATGCTGCTGTTTGACATGAAATTGACTTGATATTACCTCAGATCTGCATTTAAAGATGTGGAAATGCAAGTTCAGAATGGAGAATAGGCAGAAGAATTCCAGCTGCTTTCTTCCAAAAACTTGATGGCGGCGAGTTACGTCTGAATTACATAAAACTTGATTATATATGTTACAGATGCTTCATGACCAAAATAGAGGGAACAGATATGAACAAACGTGTGTGGATTGTGTGTGTTTCTTCTTCTTCCAATGAGAGAATTATTAAGTCCAGATGGTAATTGTGTAAATTATATAAAAGGGAAAGGCAGATATTGACAACAGATGATATTTAAAACAATAATAACTTTATTCTTACTGTCATTATTTTTCAAAGAATTTACCTTTTAGCAAGTGAAAGCTGTAAGCTGTATAGTTAAGTGAGGGCATTGACATTCAATTTGGAATTTAATATAGGGAATGTCTTTGTTTTTTTACTTATTTATGCATTTAATTTTGAACAGATGTGGCAAAATTTATATAGACTTTTAAAATAGTTTATACAATGACAGTTTATATTGTTATACTTGAATACACCAGTGTTACACAATAAAATCCCAGCTCAGTAACCTTAGAGTGGCCACAAATTTATTCGACCAGCCGTACCAAAATAACTGTTTTTGCATCTGGCAATACTTTTGAACCTTTCAAAGTTAATGGTGTATATTCATATGTCTGTGACACCCAGCCAGATCTCCATTTTCCATCTTTCACAAAGGGCTATTTTTTTTTTCTGTGTAGTTAGAAGAAAACATTTTACATACCTGCTAAACCGTATCTGTCTGATCCAGATAGTTTAGCAGTCTGCCCCAAAAATTATGCAAATATAAAGGAGATACCCCTCCACCCTCATTTTCTTCCACACTTGTACACTTGGCACCAAAAGTATAAGCATAATTTTCTACACTTGTTAATATATATTTACCAAATATTGAATAGACCATTAGAAAATAGGGTAAGTACTGGGCATGAGGTAGGTGGGTAGGAATGGAGGATCAAAGGATGTGGCATGATTTTGTCTTTAATTCAAATTCATATTAAACATATATCACAGTGAAAAAAGTCAAGATAGACACCAGAATGGGGTTGGGGGGTGGGCAGTTAGGAATTTCAGGTTAAGAAGGGCACTGCAGTTTTGCCTTTAAATTTCAGCAGAATTAAGGGCATCAAGGCAGTTGTATAAAAACGCACGTGCTGTGCTGGTGGCCACTGGCACTAACCGCACAGTTATCACATCAACCAAAAAGGCACAGTGACAACGTATTGTTAGGGTCACAGCCATTTGTTGCCGTGAAAATCTTAATTTTAGGGCCTTGTGGCAATTACTGTCATTGCTGTTGTGAATTCCCTGCCCTAGGGTAGGATGGTAAAGCCAAGGGACAAGACAGAGAGCTGCAGTATGAGGCTGGGATTATTGACCAATTATCAACTAAAAACAGGGGGATAATATAGTCAAGAGTAAGGGGGGATTACTGAGGCTTCATGGGAACTATATTTGCCCTATTCTCAGTGGACTCTCCATGGGATCCAAAACAGTAGAAGCTGTCCTGAAGAATTTTGTTTACATCTGTAACTCCTATTCTATCTGGCAGTCAGCTTATATGCTACATTACAAAATTGGTATCCATCAGTACTACTTGGCTCTTTGAAATAGTGAAATAGTGCAAGGCATATTTAACACAAATGACCAACGTTCCAGCAACCATGACCAGCACAGGATCTTTTACATGGTGATTGACATTGATACTTCTTTCTCAGTTTCTGCACAGGTTCAATTTTACTGGACGAAATTGCTTTCGGCATTCAGTGGAATATTCAAATTTTTAACATTCCTATATCAACACATTCCACCAGTAAAGTCACCTGGGTTATCATCTGTCATGCAGGAAGAGAGGGAGTAGCTCATGCACTCACCCAGTGGATTAGGACTTTTTAGGGAGACTGTGCTTATGTATTAATAACATGCACTTGCATTCACATACTGAATAGTTTTCTTTGAGAGTAAGTGCTATACTTTTCTATACCATTTCCTCTTCACTTTATTGCAGGTACCAGCTTCCATATCGGCGTCTGTTTGGAGGAGCTGTGGCTGTTCAGAAAGTACACTTTGAAGAAATTAATGGATTTGCAAACAAGTTTTATGGATGGGGAGCAGAGGATGATGATTTTTACAATCGCTTCGAGAAAAGAGGGTTACATATCATTCGTTTTGACCCAGCAGTAGCAAAGTATGTTATGCTATCTCATGTCAAAGCCACACCTTCCAAGGAGAGATATGCACATCTTTGGGCAGAAAGCACTAGAAATGATGGCCTTTCTGATTTAACTTACAAGCTGCTAAAGAAAGAACTAAGATCTTTGTATACTTGGCTGTATGTTTCTTGTTAAGTGTCTTCATTTGTACTATAGAGCCAGTTAAAAAAATATGTGTATATATATGTAAATGTTCCTTTAACATGCTAAAAAGAATTTGGGTCATCTTCATCTTCCCTTCTAATATACATTCATTCATCCAGGGAATTCCAGTGATTATCAAGCATTTTTTTTTTTTTTTTTTCCCCGTATTTATCTTCCAGACTACTGATTACATATATCTAGTTTCCCTAAATTAGGGTGTTTCTTTGGAGAAAATAGCATTTAATACCATATAACATTCTCAGATTTATTGGTCAAGATGCATTTTTTTTTTTTTTTTTTGACAAACTAATTGGAGGGGGTCAGTAGTCATACCTTCAGATTTGGATACTTTATGGAATCTCGCTCATCCTTTTTCTTTTTCGTGCGTGTGTTCTTTATCCCACTGTATCATTCCACTGACTACCCTCTCTCAAGGGGGGCATCATTGTTAGGCATTCATAGCCAACATTTAATGTAAATTTCTTTAATTTTGAAAATTCATCCACCTGGAACTACCATATGGGTGTTCAACACCCATATGCCATTATGATCAGTTGTGGAAATAATATACCATTATTGGCAAATGTGAAATACCAAATACTGTTATCCATTTCCCTTTTTATATGTTGATATGACTTATCAAAAAAATGAAGTTCAGTGTTACAAATAAACAATAATAATTACTTGTATTCATTATTTTTTATGGAAATTATCTCGACTTTGTTCCTATTGCAAGAAAATTGCACAATGAAGATAATGGGCTATCATAATATCAAGTATTTTATGCAAGGTTTGTAACAAGTCTATCATTTTCATTACCAGGGAGTTGCCAAAAGATTTTTTTTTTTTTTTTTATGTAGAAGACAATGCAAAGTAGACACTGTTATTTTGCTTCTGTATTTTTGAAAGTGATATTAGAGAAATATACATTACCAAAAATTAGAAACCTGTTTATTTCAGCTTCTTCAGGAAATGCAAAGGCACTGCACCAGTAGGAATGTGCAAGTTGCAAACAAACTATTGCAAACTGAATATTCAGTTCAAAATAAAAGTAAAATAAAAATTCTTAAAATTCAATGGAATACACATCCACTATTATAAACCTATAAAAAACATACAAGTGAACAGGAAACAAAGCCCATTTTAACACGTCAATCTGATCCATAAGCTACTTCCATTCAATTGATACATAGAAAAAATATATTTCCTTGTTTTTTTGTTTTTATTTTTTTTGTTTTTTTTTATTTTTTATTTTTTTATTATTATATTTTTTTCAATTAAGGCACACCAACAATGTAATTGTCCAAATTGCAGGCCACTGAATTATTACACTTTAATTATTTCATTTAATACAAAAGAGTAAGTCAAAGTTAACCACTATCCAGATGTGGTTAAAATATATCCTACACTGAATAATGAACTTCCATATTAATGAAAGGCACATTATCACAATAAACAAGTTACCAACTCTTAAGAGTGCGTGAGAGAAGGATACTCGTCTGTCATTAGAGCAAACGTACGACAATTGGGGCAATTTGATTGGCGTTTCAGCCAATCCTTAATGCACTTCTCATGGAAAACATGCTGGCACTGGAGTGGAACAGTTGGGCATGCATTTAGGGCTTCAAGACAGATGGAACATTGTTCTTCAGGTGCACTTCCTTCATCACCTCCAGGGCCTTGCCAGTCTGGTCCACCATTTCCACTCTTGGGACACTGAGTGAGGGAGGCCCACGGAGCTAGTGTAGCTTGTCCAGAACCAGGGCGGCGAGACTTCA